ACACTTACAGGAACTATCTGGGGACACAATGCCACTCTGGTTTGAACATTTTGCATGTTTTTCGTTTTCCATTTTCAAGTGCCGATAATTAAAAATGTGTCCTCTGCTGGATCCATTCAACTATTCTGCTGGAAACGTCTCCGTCTGTGTTCTCACCACAGTTAATATCCTAAAACAAAGAGCTGGTCACAGTCAGCACGCTGTATAAATGTCAGAGAGCAACACAAGACGACAACGTAGAAGATTCCCCAGAGGTAATCCTGTCAGTTCAGATGTTAACAACGCCGTATGTGTGACAGTCCACAGAAAGCCGACTGTCAGTCTGTCACCTCAGGAATTTAACGCTGCAAGGAGGTGATGCAATCCAGGATTCGGCCCAACGTTTCCTGAGTTTCACATGCCCAGGACATCTTTAGTTATCCAGCCCCCCTCTGAGCCTCAAACAACAGCAGCACCGAGCTCGGTCCTGCTTATTCAGCCCGTTCTGCAGAGAGGACGAGCGAAGACGCTGCTGCTGTGTCTCTGCAAGATAGTTCATTAATTCTTCTGGTGCATCAGACAGTTTTTGGCTTTCAGCTGCAGCCCCGCTGGTGTTAAACAGCGTCGGGAGCAGAACGAATCATTCACACCGCTCAGTGGGTTTACTGCAAATCTAATAAGGCTTTAGTGCTTCATCAGTGTCTGCTTCAGGATTACAGCGTTCTACAAAAGACTATTCAGCAATTACGTTTATTGCAGACAACAGGAAAAAAAAAAACTAAAGCAAGCAAGACTGGAGTTGAATCCACTGCAAACCCATGAAATCTAGACTAGTTTGGACGGTCTTTTTGAAACCATCAACCCTGAAACTGGAGCTTAAGTTATGATGGTGATGAAGCCCGGAGAGAAGTGAACCAGAGTTAAAGCTGAGGTTACCTCAAAAGCAACGTCTTAAATGCTCAACAGCAGCTCAGCCATGTTTCTACAAGTTCGATCCCTGTTCTTTACGCTCAATACGAAGCTCTCACGTTGGAGTTGTTCTCGTTCTACAGCTTTGTTTCATCATCATGCCGTCTGTCGATGCACAGGGTTGTAAAATTTGCATTTCTGCTTCGGGCAAACTTCCCTTTGGGGACGATAAATGATATCTGATCCTAAAAGGTGCCAAATGTTTGCACGACACCGTATACTTGCATCACTTCTAGCTTTTATTTCCGTAAATCTAGTTTTCCTTTCAGTACTTACAGCAATAAATATCCCACTGGGTCCGTTGAAGTTGTCAATCCAGCCCTGAAACACAAAGACATCAGAGAGAAGCGTCAGAAATTTACCAAAACATGCACTTCTTGTTTCCCTTGATAACAGTGAGGTGGTTCTAAGCTGAACCTGTTGGCGTCTAAAGGCTGAAGGTCGTCTGTCTGACAGTCGGTCCTAAACCAGAAACCCAACAATCCTTCAGCTTTCCGCGGTGACTAAGCGGATGCTAACGTGTGCAGACCTCCTTTTGTCCACATTCATCACATTCCAGCTCCGACCATCGCTGAGTTTACGGCTCAGCTGCGCCGAACACCTGAGTGTTAGTCAGAGATTTACGGCCGCCGCAGATCCGTGATGAGCCTTCTTCAGTTTTATTACCACAGCTGGTGTTCGGCACAGAACAGCTGTAGCACTTGTAAGCAACCAGAGAGTTTTGACTTTTAATGCATTAAACAACCAGGACAGGACCAGACTCCACGCCGTCATCTGGGATCCTTCAACTCGCTTTCTAGGTACATTTTAAACAGTCTGCTGCGGATTCATTCTCATGTTGTCGCTCACGAGTCTGGATTTGAGCTGGAAAGCATCACAAAGGACAAGCTCATGGGTCAAAGCTGCTGCTCCACTGGTCTGGAGACTTCTGACAGGGTTTGTTTCACAAAGATCCAAGACAGCGAACAAATCTGAGAGCAAAAGTTTGGCAAAAGCATAAATCTGGGATCAGCATTTTGGCAAGTGCACAAATAGGAGTTTGGCAAGCGCATAAATTTTGTGGCAGAAGTTTGGCAAGCACCAAAACCTGAGAGCAGGAGTTTAGCAAGCGTATAGTTTTAAGCGCAGAAGATCGGCGAGCGCACAAATCAGAGCAGAAGTTGTTCAAGCACGAAAATCTAAGAGCAGGAGTTTGGAGAGTGCATAAATCTGACAGCAAACACATAAATTTGGGGCAAAAGTTTGGCGAGCGCAGACACCTGACAGCAGGAGTTTAGAGACCTGAGAAGAAGAAGTTTGCCGAGTGCACAAATCAGAGCAGAAGTTCGGCAAACGACAGAATCTGGGAGCACGAGTTCAGCGAGCTCAGACAGCTGAGAGCAGAAGTTTGGCAAACACAGAAATTTAAGGTTTGCTGAGCACAAAAATCCGAGCAGAAGTCTGTTGAGCGCACAAATCTGAGAGGCGACGCGCTAAAACCGAAACTCAGGACGGCTTTGCAGCAGCAGCAGCGTCTCTGAGTGCAGCTGCTTGAGAAACAGGGCAGAGTTTTGAGTCAAATTAAAGTCGCTCTCAAACTGAAGTCCCCATTGTTGATCAAAGACCAGAGCTCTACAGTATCCGTTAAAGCCGCGAGGAAGCCGTCTGACACCGAGCGACTCACCGGGAAGGGCTCCTTCCAGCTGGCTCCCACAATGGAGGGTCTGACGATGGCCACGTTCAGGTCTCCGGCCTCCTGCTGCACCAGATACTCCGCCAGAGCCTTGGTGTAGGTGTAGGTGTTGGGACGCTCTCCGATCAGCTTCGGGGTCAGCGTCGACACCAGATCGTCATCCATCCAGCTGGAGCCAAAGGAGGACAACAGTAGACTTACATCTCATAGATTTACATTCGCTCTGAAGAAACAAATCTTTAACATCCAGAGTGGAGCTTCAGGCTAAATGCTAACGTCAACAATCACAGTTTAGAGAAGAAGGTTGTCACAGTTATTACTCAGAAGGTTTGATTTTTATTCAAGGCTGAAGGTTTTGGTTCAGCTCATAATTTAAACTCCAAATCAGCTGATTCTTTTCTAAGTACCTCTGTAAGAACTGATTCTTGTTAAAAGTCTGACTCTGGTAATAAAGCAGCTCTGCAGCACGTCCAACAGGTTCTTAGAATAAACACCATTCATCATTTGTGTGAATGAGTCTCTAGAGTCTGACTCTATTCAGGTGATGTGTGAACCTGCGGCTGGTTTATTTACTGGAACAAAGTCCTTCGTTAAATCTGGAGAGAACGAAGAAACATCAGACGAACAATCTGATGATTACAGAGAACGGAGTGAAGGTAAAGTCTCTGTGCTGCTCCTTCAAAATAAAACTAACAAACACTGAATCAGAAGCAGGAGGATGGAAGCATCACCTTCAGACAACTACATCACCGCTATAGTGGACTGTAGTACATATAGTATACTATGTTATACTACAGTACACTACACTGTACTACCGTATGATATAGAATAGAATAGAACACTTCATCGATCCCTCATTGGGGGAAATTTAGCCGCCACAGCAGCATCCAAAAATATAGAAAGTACAAGAAAATAACAATAATTCAGTTATTGTACTACAGTATACTATATTATACTACAGTACACTGCACCACAGTACATTATACTACAGTGCATTGTACTATAGTACACTACAGTACACTCTTAAGTACTAAACTATAACATACTATAATAGCATATTATACTGCGCTATACTACAGTACACGTTAATATGTGGTACAAAACTACACAGCACTGCTATAGTACTACATAATAATGTACTTTTGCACCTTATGCTTGAATATACAATGCTGTACTACGCAAAAAGTACACCACCATGCACTCATCTACTGTACAATACTACACTAGAATACACCTTCTCATAACATACGACAATACAAGTCCTATAATATAATGTGTACTACACTTTAAAGTAG